CACGGTCAGTTGGACGTTGTTATTCTGTAATGTTATTTAAGGTCTGCTATATTCCATTGTTTCTGTAAAAAATTGTTGATCTTCTGAGTTGAAAAGGGATTTATTTTTTTTATTTTTTTTTATTTTTTTATTTGGTACTTAACATTTACTTATATTTTGTTTTCCCAAATTTATCAACAGCCTAGGTGCAATATCCGGAAATGGACACACGCACAATTTTTTTGGTGAGAGATTAAAGACGAAATCTGGATTCCTTACACGAGAAAACCAAAAATAAAGAGCTACTCAAATAATAATAATAATAATAATAATAATAATAATAATAATAATAATAATAATAATAATAATAATAATAATAATAATAATAATAAATAATTATTATTATTATTATTATTATTTTTTTATTTATTTTTAGTAGGTTGGCTACGTTTTTTGCTTGCAGGAATTTTAATATATTTCAATACAGTAAATTTAAACACAGAAAAGCTAACAATAAGTGGCTGTAAAAATCCAGGCTTCAAAAGTCTCCAAGTTTAGCCGTGACATTTAGAATGTTTGGTCATGTACAAAATTGGTAAAAAAATAACAATGAACTCATATATGGACCACACCACACTGCATATACACCATTCTTCACAATCATTCACAACTCCAAAACTCACAATGCTAAACCATGTATATATATATATACTTGCAGCAACAATATTAGATGATGCAACCATATTTGGTTCTGTTATGCAAGCTCGATAATAATGAACCTGCCTTGAAACCTCACACAATACACGACAAAAAAAGGCAAAAGAATCTCGGATAAATCAGTGTTTGTTTCGAGCGAATTGGGCAAACCACACACGTCACGATGAGGAACCCTTCTTCTCATTTTCTGTAAACCGCAGAACTTCTTTCGCCATCGAAGAAAATGAACGCGCTGTGTCCTGCATCTCGGTGGTTTTCATGTTGATTCCCTAAGCCAGCACAAAAAACAAAAAAAAAAAAAACTTAACTAATTGTTGTTGATGAATCATTTTCGGCATTACCCTATAATAAGGCTATAAGGTCCAAGTTGAATATAAAACTCTGAAAATCAAGTTGAAATGTTTTCCTGTAATGGAAACAGCAAAAATAACTTTGGCACTATCCGAAAACTACAAGTAATACGAGAAAATCTTGTTACGCAAAAGGGTATATATAAATAATACCTGCAACTTCTTCAAATTTTCACTTAGCTTGGCCTTAGCAGCATTTGCGACGCTCGACTCCTGCATTTGTACCACAAATTCGGTCGAACACTTTTATTATCAAAAGTCACATTGCAAAATGTAGATTTAGAAGTTTAAGGAATTTTCTCGATACAAAAACTCCAAGTACATCCCGATTGTACTTTTCTTTTTTTTTCTTTTTTGCTTCTAATAATAAATAAATAAAAAACATGTGGCCGCTTTCTATTTTGCATCAACATTGTTCTTGATTCTCATAGCTAGAGATTCATACATGAGTCCACTTCCTGCATTACTCCTCCAATGGAATTTTTTATATTAAATGATTGGTAAATTGTGGAGATTAACTCTCATTACAGCTAAAATACAAACACAGCTTATATAACTTACACCAGTAGAAGCATAGCCATATTTTTTCTTTATTTGGTCAATATCACCAGTTTTCTCGTCCTGCGCCTCATCAACTTCTGCCACTTTATCATTCTTCACCTTTTTCAACTTCCCTGTAAACAAGAAAAAATAAAATCATGGGATCAAGAACGACTCGACGAAAAGATTTTATTGCAAGATGATGAAATATTTATTCAAGCAGTTCTTATTTTTACTATCCCGGACTAACCTTTCATTGCTTGAAATTTATTTGTAATGTTGTATCTATTGAATCCTGCCATCATCGAATTTCCTCTTGGTTTCTCTTCGGGATCTTCAATGTCAATATCATCTTTTCGGACCGTAACAGAAAATGGAGAACAAATTGCAAACAAAATAAAGATAAAACATCACTTCACTGTTAAAAACAATTAAGAACTCTAACAAAGCTCAAGATTTCATGCAGAAAATGATAACCTATATCCAAGTCAATGTCCTCGTCATCATTCTTAACAAACTTTTTTTCTTCAGTTTCCGTGTTAGTTGGGAAGTTAACAGCTGAAAAAACAGACATAAGTTCTTCAATACTTCCCCTAGAGGCTTTAGTAGTTTCCATCTCGATCCCATTAGTTGCTGCTTTTGGGCCTTTATTGTCTTTAACCAAAGAGCCAAATATACCCTGTAAACCGCGCCAATCAAGTTTTACTTTTATTTTAATTTTTTCTTTTTAAAAAAATGAGTACAATATTCAGAAATGAAACACAGTTGACATGAGTACAAGGGAAAACCTTTTTCTTTTCCTTAACGGGAGACAATGCGAGAAGCACTTCACTGTTATTGACGAGGTTTTTGTCGAGAACTTTGGTAACACAGTCCACATGTCTTGGATTGGATGGATATAAGTCAATAACATTACGAAAACCGCATTTAGAAATAGTGAAAAAAAAACTAATTCCATAATTAATTCTCTGAGTAGCTAAATGTGAAAAAGCAGAGGCTTTTTGAGAATAATTAGTACCTGTAAGCCTCTTTGTGGAGCCATGTTGAGACGAAAAGTAGTTCTTGGTTCCCACTGACCTTAAAATATAGAGAACAAATACTGATCATATTTGTTAGCAGATTTTATAAGGCGACTATCGGGAGATAGAAACTAATGTTATCTTACGATGATAAGGTCACCAGCAGGTGATGAGGACACTATAACGTCTGATATTGAGGATTGTCTCAAAGTTAAAGATGTGATTGCTCTTATTGAACTTTCCTTCACAAGAGATAATTCAGGCAGGGACCTGAAATTTTTTGAATTAAACTATTAAAAGATGAAGCAAGATCCATTTGTTGA